CAAATACTTCCTCATTTGGACAGTGGCAAGATACCCAAGGAGCCAGAAACCTGTAATATTGCAGGGTAAGCTTCATAAATAAAACAACGTACATATAATTCTGTGCTACCTGTGAAACAGATCCACTGAACGAAATCGAAGAAACCCTGTGGCAAAGTAACCACCTCATTTGAATTAGTATTTCTACCTTTCATCTTATTTAACTATGTGAGTATCTGTGTACTAAGCTACAGAGTGGACTGTTCTTTTTATACTTTGCAATCCTGTAGATAAACAGTTATTGAAAATTTTTCAGCAATATGTAGTTTCAGTTCCTGTCTTGGATCCAAATTAATTTGTAGATGCCTGTTTCAAAGGTCAGGGTCTTCCTTCAGAGAAATAATGTAGTTATTTATACATCCTGCAGCCCTTTACAATTGTATTATTTTCTAATTACCAAATGGAATAAAACAAAAATTAATATTTAAAAAAAAATACTGCTAGCTGTAACTTGAATTTTTATATGGTCAAGAATCTGGAGATAGCCATCCTGCTTAAAATTAAAATACTGCCATTATGATGAAAAAATATTTAAAAGAGCACTAGGTAAACTTTAAAATTTACTTCAATGTTTGTATCCTACAAATTATTACTAAAGTGAAGAAATGTTCAAGAAAAATAGCTGTAAATAATGCTAGAATATTATTTGTATATTTAGTGTGTTACCTTACAAAAAGAATATTACCAGCACCTTAGTTTAATCTTTGGTGCGTTTATTTATTTGCCCAACCTATGGAAGAGGCAGAAGTGAATGTGAATTTCAGAGCCTTCCTATCCACTGTAAAAATGCTGTAACTGACTCAATAGTCTGCTCTTTACAAACCACCACCAAACAAATCCCAAAAGGCTGTTTCCTAAACAAGGTTCAGCCAGGAATGTCAAAGCCGAATGTTGTGCCCCCCTTTCCTGACACGCTGTGCCTTACCTTTCCAGAACGGCGTGAGGTAAGTAGGGAGTGTCACTCTTGGCTTTGCTGTTCCCGCGTATGTGTTGCCTTATGCTTTTCTTTAGACTTCAGCACTTAAGATGTTCACTACCCTTCTGCGATCTATTTGAAGTCAGACTGCAAATATGCAGTTGATATTTGTTTTTTTTTTTTTAAATAAAGTTCATGAGAAGTGTCCATTTATTAAGTATTCCTGGTGAATTCCTGTACATAATTAATTTGATTTGTACATTCTGCTCTTTTTATTTAGTGTTAGATGTATAAAATTATGGTTAATTCTGTCATCAAATAAACGGAGCTTTGCCATGAATTACTCTTTCAAGAAACTTTTTCTAGGGGGTGAGGAGGAAGGGGTTGCAGAATTGTTTATTCCTCCTCAGTATTTCTTTCCATATATTGGCAAATATCTGGTGTGAATAGTTCTAGGAATGTCTGCATTTTAATTTCTGCTTAAGGCTCGAAGAATTAACATGGATGAGGAAAAGAAACATACTGCCCTCCTGGGTTGTGTCAGAACGTGGCTCTGCAAGAGCACAATGCTAACAGAACACCTTGTATATTGATACTGAAATTGCTCTGGCTGCACGACCTCTTGGTGGGGGAGGCATCTGCTCGGCCCCTGGACTGGGGTTTCTCTACAGCACTGGCACCCCAAGGCAAGCATCAGACAGCACTTCCACCTTGGCCTCTGCTCTGAGATAAATACTTGAGCAGGGGTTGTGGGGTGGAAATTTTCCTAGAGTGTCATCCTGGCTGAAGAGGTACAGCTGTACAGCTGCTCCTGGGCTGGGAACAGTGTCCTGTGCCTTTCCCTTTGCTATTACAGGAACTTTCAAGGCAACGCCAATGGTGCAGAAAGGCTGATTATCTTTTGTGGTTCATCCTGATTCTTAAGGGAAGTGCTAAGGGAGCTTTTTAGTGTATGGGCTCCCTGTGAGCCCATGTAAGTAATAAAGCAAGTATAAAAGAAAAACAGGTTTCAAAGGCTGAGTGCCGAAGGAGTAACATAGCCTTCTGAATTACTGCTGATCCACAGGGATGAAAACATAAATGCAAAACGGCCAAGTGATGTGTGGATAATTTTCACCCTCCCTTTAGTTTCTACTTGAACTAGAACCGTGTCATTCATGGCTCTTAAAGGAAGCAGGGTGAATTTCTACAGCACTGGAAGGGTGTTAGTAAGGTAACATTCAGGAGCCAGTCCTGGAGCTGCTGCTGATGGGGGTGGAACCCAACAGCTCTCAAGCAGTTCTTTACCAAAGACCTATTCTTGTGCAGAAGGCCCAGGACTGTTGGGGAACATGCTCACTAGTCTAATGTGACCTTGAGAAGCTCTGTAGAAATTAAGTTGGTCTTGCTCCTTCTGGGAGTTTTGTCCTGGGGGCAGTATTTTGCCTTACAGATGGAAACAGCCTTGCTAAATGATTTGGTGCTTTTAGAAGTGCAATAGTACAAGCTGTTGTTGTCATGGGTTTAAATTTTACATGTGAACAGGACTCTTAAACAAGCATCCAGTAACAAAAGCAAGGCATACCCTGAAACAGGCCCCAGTTTCACAACTGCCTGTTACTCACTGTTCTGCAGTGCCTGTCCTAGACAGTGGCAGCTGGTCTGTGTGTGAACAGGGAGGGCACCACAGTCACACTTCTTTCACAGAGGCACAGCTGTGATTCTGTAACTACTGAGCATCAGCCAACATGGTTTATGTGACTTCTGTGTTTTCTAATTATGGGAGGCTGGGGGAGAAAAGGAGAGATATTTTTATTAGAACTTGCATTACCTTTACGTTAATAAACTTGTGCTGCCAGGAAAACATCAACACAGGCTCATGACTTCAAGTTTCAGTGGAGCTCTTGCTCCATTTGTGCATTTGTCTCATCAGGAAATCCAATCCCAAAAACCACATTTATGGACTACACCACAAGCTTAGCTGACGTTTTTAAGACCTCACTGACCGCACTGCACCAGAAGTTCATACTCCTGATTACCAGCACTGACAGTCACTGCCATCATCCCTCCTCTCTGCCCAGCTTGAAAGCAGCTGGAAGTGTCCAGACTTCAAGGAGGTGTGTGCTGCAGTCTAAAGGTTTGCTTTGGTGACTAAATCTTGCTTGGACTCCCCTCACTGCAGACTGTTAAATGGAAGTTCATAAACAGAACCTGAACATGCTACATCCAGAGTTTAAGGGTAACAGTTCATGTTTCGTGCTTTTAATTCCATGGATAACTACGCTTCTACCCCAAGGCAGTGGCTCCACATTATTAAATACTAGCAGCTTTCCTAGGTAAGCACTATATAAGATGCCAGTATTTCAAAATTACAGAACAGCAGGAGATCCCTTCATTAATAAAACCAGAAGAATTAAGGAATGTTTACAGGATATAGTAAAAAAGCAAATTGTTAATCGTCCCGTGTTTATGGTGTTCTTCCATCTCTTGCCAGAGGAACTAGACAACAAATTATGGTGGGTTTAGAATATAACCTTCCCTTTTGTAGCTTAAAGGCAGGACTACTCAGCATTCCTCAGAAAACTCCAGCCTTTTTGCAGAACAACCTTTAGGGTGCTCACAGTGGGACACAGAGAGTTGGTTTTGCTAAAGGTCAGTGAATCCTGTGACTGGTTATCCCTGACATGGCACAAGCCTGAGAAACGGCACCTCAGAGACAGACTGGCTGGGAGTTCTTCCTTCTAAAACCTTGATTCTGAGAATCTGGACAGTGCACCTCCCACACTTAAAGAAATAAAATTAGTCAAGCGGTTACACGCAGGACTACCTAAAACACAGCCATAATAGTACACTGCACTGCTTTGGGGATGATTTTTTTTGTTTGGGGGTATTTTTGCCTTTTTTTGTTTGTTTTGGTTCTTCTTCTTTGGGTTGTTTGTTTTAATGATTTTAATATAGTTAACATTGGATGAGTTTGGATCCATTTACAACCCAGCAGGCCCAAAACAGCCCAGCTGCAGAGTAGCAGAGAGGAGGTTACCAGGTAACTCCTCACATCTTCACCTAATCTGTTCAGTGTTCTGCAGCCTGCTCAGGTGCTAAGTCCTGCTAAGCAAGCATAAGCCTTCTGAGATAAAACTACCCAAGTTAGACAGACAGACATTTTAACCACTGACAGGTATACATACCTTGCAGTCAATGGTCTCAGCACACCTCCTAGAAGCACTTAAAGACAGCTAAATCAGATAGTTTACCAGGAGTTTCAGGATTCTTGAACATCCAAAATTAAAAAACCATCACAGCAAGAACCAAAAAAACCACACACACACACCCAAACAAACAAACAAAACAAAACAAAACAAAACAAAAAAAAAAAAAAAAAAAAAAAAAAAAAAAAAAAAAAAAAAAAAAAAAAAAAAAAAAAAAAAAAAAAAAAAAAAAAAAAAAAAAAAGGCTCTCAGCACACCAAGACCATGACTACTGTAACTGTAACAAGAGCACACAGCTTCAAGCGAAGTCCTAGGTAACTTTTCCCTTTCAGGTCAGTCAGTTTTTTCTTTCAAGTGTCAGACATTAAACACCAGCAGACACCTCGTGGCTACAAGATCCAGCCTGTCCAGCACTCAGTCCTGCAGGGACTGTGGTCGCCTTGATCAACTCTCTTCCATGGAGCACTGAGAAGGAAGGGAACACTGCATCTGGTGAGGCAGGAGCACTGAGCTTTAGAAGCAGTCTCTCCCAGTCTAGAATTATTTACTGACCACAGGAGTAAGATAGATAAATATAACTTTTGCTCTCTCACTTGCATGGAAGGTATTTCCTAGTGTGTCTGCTCTTCTGCCTGGCAATTTCCTAAATGATTTTAAAGTACGAGGAAACCCTGGATATGAGAGTCTACTTGAGCCCAAGATGTGGAAGACAGTGGTGGTAGGTCAACTAAAAAATAACCAGATATTTGAGTTTTCTTCTTATTCACAATTCTGTTTTGCTTTTTTCCTAATACACGTGATCAACATAATATGGAGAAACTACTAAGGAGCACGAGAAAATAGCTGTTCACTATGAATTACCACTATCTTAAAGGGATTTATTTCAACAAACATAACCACATGTGATGAAAATAAGTGAAAAGTTTGCCTTGCCTAGTTCCAGTAATGCCCAAATCTGTTTCGGAAGTCCTGAAAGTCAGTTTTGAAAGTGTGTTTTGTTTTAAATAAACCCAGTATTTCTGCTATGGAAAAAAAAAATAATGTATACATTTTTATGTTATGTTTATAACAAGGCTTTTAAAGAAAACAGTTACAGGTATTCAACTGCATCAGACTTCAAAAGAAAAAAGATTACACATACAATACAAAAATACAAAAAAATATTTTTTAGAACTTACAAACTCAAAAGTCTAAGTGGTCAGAGCTTTCCTAAAATAATAATAATAATAATAATAAAAAAATACACTTCAAGATGCACTTTCCTTTCTGCACTTGCAGGTTCAACTTCAGTATGAAGGTTTTAGAGGCAGGATAAAAGCAATTAATATATTGGAATTCTACAACCAGTTCCTGGCTGAAATTAATTTAGGGGTTGACACTATCAGGTATTTGAGTTTAAAAAAACTCCTTGTGCTTGTTTCGGGGAGGGGGAACGCAGGTGGCGGTGTTGCTGTTGATAAATTTGTTTAACCAGTTCTGATAGTACAATGTTTTAAAAATATGCTAAAAAAATATGACTAAAATTTAGACAGTCGTTCCTGGTCATTACTGAAATCCTGCAGCACTGTTCTGCAGTATGAAAGCCAGAAAATTAAACTGACCAGACTAATGTCATGGCTGAAAATCACTGCAAAAGGCAGACAGGCAGGAAAAGGTCAAGTTTTATTTCTGAAGTTGCCACTTGTTAGAAGCATTAGGACTGCAGACATAGTATTCTTTGACCTGATAGTGTCCACTGAGGTCACAGGCATCAAGGCATTTTGTTTTAAATGGCAAGTCAGGGAAAGTGCATCTTGGATTTTTCATACTTAAGCAGTGAGTTACTGATTTTTGGTGTGGCTTTTATTCCTTCTAGGCATAGTAAAGAAAAATATTTCAACCAAATGTGGAGCTTAATGTACATTAGCTTGTATTTTTGGTGGTGGCTTTCGTGTACCACTAGGAAATGCTAACAAGCACTGCTCAAGGCTAATGATTTAAGAGGAGCACACTGAAAATACTGATTTACCTTTGTAGTGAATATTCTTTACAGACTGTATCTAATATACAGACAAGGCCCATTTCCTTAGGACGAAACAGACCACAGAAGGTTACACATCCTACATGAAGTTTTAAACAAAATTAGAGCTAAGTTACCAGAGCCACTCAGAGCAACATAATTCCTACTTTGCAGAGACTTAACAAAAGGTGACTGCAGGGAGAAAAAGAAAATCCAGGTTCTTATTATTTCCTGTGTAAGATTATATTCAAATTAATAGTCCAGTAACACTTCTAGCACAAAACAATGCTCTCTCTTTAGCAGAACTCCTAGAAGTCAATTGTTTCTCCTGTTATGAAGAGGGAGCCAGAAGTAAGAATGCATGAGCATTCAATTTTAGCCTGATTAAAGAGACAGTAACCTTTTTCATCCACCTTATTCAATGACTGGCCAAAAAAAAAAAATTCTTAAAAAGGTACCACTCCAATTTCTTTATTATCTGTAACCTTTTGAAACTAATCACATGAACTACAAAATTAGCAAATGCCTTGAAATCTGTATACAAAACATAAATTACCTCTAATTTCAAACTAATTCGTTAGTGTACCACTCAAAATCTTAAAAAAGTGGCTCCAAAGATAGTCTCATACCATTCTTAAAAAAGGAAACTGTTCCTTTAACGTTACACCCTCCCCTCCCCCCAAACACCCAACTTATAATCCACATCATTTAGTTATTTTCTTGGTCATGGACATTTCCAAGATGAGATTTTATATTTCGTTCCCATAGCTTCTGGTTGTCAGAAAATCCATGCTTTCCTTTATTGAAGGAATTTGGTCCTGCTGAGGTTGGTGTATCCCTGTGAAGAAGCAAAACAAGAACAGTTGAGAAAGTCAGCTCAGCTACAGTGGTCTGAGCAGTGTGACACTGAAAATACCAATTTCAAGTCCAACCTGCTGCCAAGAAACTACCACATGTTTCTTTCTGTTACATCAAGCGTCCTGACTGTCAGCAGCTGCAATTTGGCCACAGAACTGATCTCTCCATAGCATTTCAAAACAGAGCGATGAGATGGGGCAGCAGGAGGTGGGAGTGGCAGTAACTGCTGCAGCCGGGAAGAATTCTTTGCAAGGATTAAAAAACTGAGGATCCTAATTTGCTACTGGAGAAAAAAACCACACCACTAAACTAGAGGACCTCCAGATGGATTAACTTTAAAAGCAGTCTATCATGATAAACATCTTTAAAACATATATTCTCAAAATTCATCCCTAATTTAAGCCAAGCCTCTTCTGGAAAGGTCCCTATTAATTATAGGCTTGGCCCTCTACTCAAATCTGTAGCAAGAAGAACTACATATATTTGTTTAAGTAAACAAGCAATTTTTTTGTCTTTCTGAAAGAGATGATTTGCATCTTCCCCTCCTACAGGAGTTAAAAAACCTCACCAGACTGCCCTACTTCCAAGGCAATTTACAAAATGGAGAATCAGAAAGACACATAGTGGCAAGCAGAAACTCCCACCTATTACCTTTCCAAGAAGATAACAAGCTTCTATTTAATGCAGGATCAATTTCTTCATCACAAAGAAGGCAAATAAGATTCTAAGTTCAAATGTAAATGTACTACTTTTAACCTACAGACACAACATCTGAAAATTCTGAAAGAAAAATCTCTGAGCCTATTCTATCTTCTTGTATTTCTAAGCCATCTGCGAGATCTGACCGGTGCTGGAGGAGATCAGAGTCATTCTCACACACTCACCCCTCCCCAAACCACAGCTAAAAGCTGACCTACCTTCCAATGTTCTTCATGCGCATCTTGGCTTCTGGAGGCATTTCTTCTGGTTCGCTCTGCAGAGAGAAAGGAGGTTAGAGTGTGGCTGGGCACTTGCCTTTGAACGTTTCAAATGCCTGACAAGATAAAGGATGGACTCCAGCCCCACAGGAAAGCAAAATGACTTAGGACAGAACAGAGGTTCTACAAGGTTATAGACTGAAATACAAATTCCTTTGCTGACCTCTGTGTAAGAAGGAGCAAGGTATTTATGACATAACAAGATATTTAGCAAACCAGAAGCACAACTTTCCTTCACTTCCCCTTTATTAAGCCCAGAGAAAGCAACCATTAATTCAAATTATGTAGTGCATCTCATTTTCAGGGAAAAGTTATCAGCACGTTAATGACTTCTTGAACCAACAGACAGCTACAAAGTTGTGCATTCGTAAGCAGAAACACAAGAGATGCCTCTAGGTTGAAAATTCCTGACATTTATGTAGAAAACCTTAAAGAACCCACTCTCTCTGCCTCCCACACCAATGGTATTTTGTGTTGATCATTCGCTTATTACTCACATCTTCATCTTCATTGAAAGCTGCTGCTACAGAAAGGGTTTTTGGAGCCAGGGTTGGAACAGGCTCTTTAGGCTTCTGAAAAAGACCAAATAAGCAAATAAAGTGAATCTACTAACTCAAAAAATCTACCCTTTTCATTTAAAATACTTTGCTAAATGAAGTCAAACATCTTCACTGATATGGGCAACCAGGGGGAAAAGTTTTTCCTCAAATCAAGCACATAAAGGTGTCTCTAACAAAAAAGGAAAAATGACCGCTTGTTTAAGTGTGATACACTCTGAGCAAGCTCAGTCCTCTCTTATTACAACTCCCCACAAGCAGGTCTTCACTTTCTAGCACACTGCAGGGCGACTCAGCCACTGGAGCATGACAGGAACAATTAAAAAGATCCTGGGTAAGTTGTAGTATTCAAAATTTTACTATGTCACTGTTTCTATTATTCTTTCGGAGTATTCTCATCCATCAATGTCAGAAAGATGAATATATTTATTCTCTTGTATTTTAAAAATATAACAGCTTTCTGGCTTATAACAATTCAATACTTTCAAACGAGCATCAGTGTGTATCACACAGGCCACTTAATATAAGGTTCCTTTAAAAAGTATTATTTTTATTTCCAATAAGAACCTTCTTCTATTTAAAAGTGTAAGAAGCCGTCAAACTCACAACTGTTACAAGGAATACAAAAGTGGTACCAAAAGCTGTTTTGACAACACTAGGAGCCAAGTCATCACTAACAATTTGCTTCTACAGTACTACCAATTATCTAAACCAATGACATACAGTGCTTTCTCCATTTTTACTTTACTGGTGATTATTTAATATATACTCATAGAAGCTGATGCTGCAGCACAGTCCTTATGCAACTGCCTACAGCTGTTTTTTACTGACAGTGTACAACACTGAAACACTGTACCATATTTAAAGCATCTGCTCCGCAGGAATGGGTAATGTTCTAAGGGACTAAAAATGACTGGAAAGAAACAGGATAAGTTTCAGCACTGTCCCATCTGGTGCACTGTCAGTCACCCAGTAAATGGAGTGAGCCAGAAATCCTGAGCCCAATTTATTGCCACTGCAAGCATCTTCTGACATAAGAAACCGAAGCGTGCCGGTGGCTCGGAGAAGGCAGCTCTGTCAATTCTTTCTCAGTCTGAGCTGACCTGATTGCATTCATACCCTAGAATGCTGCCAGCCCACATCTCCCATCTCAAAGTAACAGAGCACTCTTTTAATCTTTTGCAGATCTGTAGAACGCTGGCACTGCAGGTGCAAGCCTTTCATGATTACAGTTTGAATTTAGTGCAGACAAGGATTTATATCATATCCATCACAGTGGTAGGCAGGAACCGTAAATGAACTGTATTAGATGGAGAGGCAGTGCCAGGCTTGTCCTTGCCCAAGCTATAGAGGACTGCTTTTGAAGTAAAGAGACTCATCAGATTCACATCTAAACAAGCACAAGGATACGCTGTACCGGACAATAAAGGGGATCAGAATTCCTAGCAATCTATGTAACAAAGCCTCATCTCTTGCAAAAAGTACAAATGAATCATACTGACCTTGCAAAGCACAGGCAAAGTCATGAAAAATCAGCTGTACTTCCCCATCCAGAATAAGATCTTTGGAGTGGGAGACAACCTATTAAGCCATCTAAGAGATGCTTTCTTGTAGCTTTAAGCATCCAATAGAATGAGGCTCCCAGCACTCATTTCAAAGTAGCCTGAACAGTTTAACAAGTCTGCTCATTTCCCTCGGGAAATTATTCCAGACTTATCAAATCTCATTATGAAGTAAGTCTCTATGTTCAAAGATCTACAGTTCATTTCAATCAAGTCTTTTGCTTCCTAAGACAACTGACCTGTTATTAATCACCTTGAAGTACTTACACATGCATAACTAGCTGGCCCTGCAATGCTTGCTTAAACTTTACCAAGTTACCCTCGTAGAATTCAAGGTTTCCCTCTGCGAGGAAGCCTCCCCAAAGTACTACCCTTTTTGCCTCAGTTTCCCTGAAATTAAAAGCCCTTGGGCAACTTACATTTGCTCCTAGTTTGATGGATATTGCAGATGCCTTCTTTGTTGTCTGACTGCCTATGGAAAATCCAAACTTGGACATTTTGGCAGGAGCAGGCTTTGTGGTGAAGTCTTCGGCTTCTTCATTAGCTGCCCGTTTCTCTGCGCTGCGACTCGAACTTTCTCCTCCATTACTGGAAGAAACAGTCTTAGTTTTCACAGGTTTTTCTGCCTCTTCTTCAGGTCCTGGTGAAGTCGAAACAACTTACCAAGATGAGCTACTTTTACTGAGCAGATTGATGGGAGCAGCAACCTCAAAAAGCATTATACTCTGGGTGCAATAGGTAACGTGTTTTTAGTGACAGCAGTTTCCACCAATGTACATTTAGTGGACAGCAAAACACAAACAGGAGAAGAAACTGCAAGCACTCCACTACTGGTAAAGAACTTCTTTTGTATGAGCCAGGAAAACAATCTTGAAGCACCATCTCTTTATTTAGTATGGAAGTCAAAGTTCACGTAGTAAATTAAATGTAGATGACTAAATCTTTTTAGGGTTTTAAGTTGCCATAGATAAGCTTTGATCACTGGAATCCCAATTCCAAATCTAGAGTAGATAATCTAAGTTAAAATTAATTCTACTAAATTTCTACAAAATCATGTCCATGCCAGTCTCTAGGCTTGTCTGGCACAACTCTAAAACCATGGGAGTGACTGCAATGAGGCCGGCTGTCTCAATCATCTTTCAAGTCACTGCTTGTCCGCATCTCATCTGTAATAAATCTGCCAAGCTCTGCTTGAGGAAGGAATCAGCACTAGAAAACATATGTGTATATATATATATATATATATACGTATATATATATATGTATATATATATATATATATATATATATATACACATATATATATACATATATTTCATCTTTTCCAGGTTTGTATGAAGTCATGGCAAACATAGCAGCTGAACAGTGAACCACAGATTAAAAAACACTCCAGTAACATTTTCATTCCTACATAATCAGGTTCTTCAGCTACACCAAGAGACAAAGGTGTCCTTGGAAAACTCACACTGAATATAGTAAATGCTTCAGCAAAAAGACACTTCCTTGCTGCTGCAATAAGCAAATCCCTGCAGTAGCAGGAGAAAAAAAAAAAACCAACACACATTAGGGAATGCACAGGGAAGTGCTCACAGTAGCAGCTTGAGAAAAACTGGAGTTAGCACCAGTTCATCATTGTATCAAGTGGAGAACAGGACCTTCCACGCACAGCAAATTCAGACCATCAGGGAAAAAAGCTAATGGCAAAAAGCTACTAAGTAAGATGGAGCAATGGGAGAGAAGAAAGTCTGAACTGGAGGTCAACAATAATGCAGCTCTGAGGAAAAAGAAGCAGCAAACAACATCAGGCCAGAGGAAATCTAGGGACACCATCTACATACATGTATTTGCTATTTTCCAAATCATAAGCAGTAGCATATACCATTTCAGCAGCCTTTCTACCCCACTCTTCCAGCTATCACGATAAGTAATTGAAACAAAAATAGATTTATTGTTTACCTTTGGAAATATGGCAGATCATAAAAAAACATTTTGTAACTTTAATCAGTTTCACTGTATTTAAAAAAATGGTGCTAATCTGCAGTGCTAGAAATTTGACCCAGAGATCATAGATATAACAGTGAAAAACCAAAGAGGAAAGAGAAACAATCAAAATTTCACAAGTGACCTTGGGTACTGGTAGCCTACTTGGCACAGTGTACCAAACAACAATCTGCAAGACTAGAACGTCTTTAGAGCTAATCCATGGAACTGCATTAAACAGAATACTCAAAGTCTAACCTAGGTACACTGGAGAATGTGATTCAAGGGTAAGTAGGAGATTCATTTGCCTTAGAAGTGCTGGAACCATGGGCCTAAAAGTCTTCTTTTTCATAAGATACAAAATCCACAGCAGCCCAAATCTCAGGGCACACACAGAGGACCAGTACAGGCTCTGAAAACAGTGCTAGCTTGAAGCTAGTGACACTGAAGCTTACTTCTTTAAGGGAAAATTCTCAAATACTGCTAAGCACAAGGTGAAGCTTAACACAACCTACTCACATCTGTTTTCTCCCCAAATTTTAAAGAGCATCTCTCTCAAAATTAGCTCCTATCCTTGCATTCTGAGTGTTACTTCTAGGCTCGATGTAGGATGAACTGCAGAGCTGTAAGGGGCACAGGACAACTGGGGAAGGTGGGCAAGGAGCCACTGGGCTGTTTGATTTCTGCAGGAAACAGAAATGCAGACACATATTAACCATGAAAGAGGTCTCTCCCATGCCAGTGCATGCATATATATATATATATATATATATATATATATTCCAAAACATTAAGGCTTCTTTATTACTTCCTGGAGACATCAAGGAGATCATACTTCACCTACAAAAAGCACCAGCACTATTTCCAAAACTAGACTGATCAGTGCTGTTTTTGTGAATCACAGAAATAAAAAGCTGTCCTGCTGCACAGAGGAGTTTTACTCGTGTGTATCAGCAAGCCACATGAGTGCACAACCTCCACTCTCCAGGTGGCTGCAGTGACAAGACTGACAGTGCCAGCTGCACAGCATTCCAGGATCCAGGAGCACGACCACTGGTGGGGGTGGGAACAAACCAGCCACAACTAAGTTAATTCTGAGATAAACCCCACTAAAAGTGGCAGAAGCTGAAGATTCCAAACTACTTTCAAAAATCATCCAGGGGTAACTATTCTTCCTCAGGATCGAGGTACCATAACTCGTTAAGATCACGTTCCAGCACACCAAACAGCACACAGGGCACTATAGATCAGTGATGTACTGATGCTGTCCAGTTACTCTACTACTAATACAAACAAAAAACCCAAAAAATCAAACGCAAAGACCCGCCAAAAGTCAAAAGAGAGCCAAGGGTTCAGGAACTACCTAAAATCAAGTATTACTGTTCAAATATTCGTGATTATCAGAAATAACATCCACTGTTGAGGCTGTCCTAATTGATTTACAAGCCTGATTTAATTTTTCAACAGATCAAAGAAATGCCCTCTGCCTACAGATATATTTAAGCTGGAAAAAAACCCACCAAAACCGAGCTACAACAGAAACGAAAACATACCAGGAACGAAAAGTTTTATCTTTGAAAAGACATTATCTATCCTCTCAACTTTAAATCAAGGGAAGAAAGAAGAAAAGAAACATCCCATTAAAAACTTTTGAATAGTGCAGAAAAGACAAGGCTGTCCAATCACGATATAAATACTACAAAACTAAATCACAAACTTACAGATTGCTGCCAAGCAAAAAAAAAAACCAAGATACTTAAAAACACAATTAAGGAATATTCACTGTACCCATTTGTAAAAAAGGTATCACAGTTGTTAAAAGTAAAGCTTTAAGGTGCTGTCTGCATCTTTACAGGCAGCAACAATCGAATTTCCTCTCAAAAATATGTGTAAGTATTCCGCATATTTTCAACAAAGAGAAACAGCACATTTGCGTGGAGAAGATGTCACAGTTTTACAAAAGCGCCTGTAAGGCTGAGGACAGCAGGCCCAGACGACTTGGCCTCTCCTCCAGCGCAGCCCCCTCAGGCCCGGGCCGCCCCCTCTCCCCGCAAGGCCGGGCATCACACAGCCCGGCCCGGCCCGGGCCCGCCCGGCCGGGGAAAGTACGCCTGGGCCCTCCCCACCCCTGTGGGCCCAGCGTGGACCCCATTCCCCCCCCAGGGCTCCGCGGCGAGAGGCGCTACATGTTCACCTCCTGCGGGCTGCGGCCGCTTCGCCTTCTCCCCCTCGGCTCTGCCGTCCGCCATTTTCCCCCGCCTCCGCCGCCGCACGCGCCGCGCACGCGCCGCGCGCCGGCCCCGCCCCACCACGGGGCCCCGCCCCTGCGGCGCGCGGGCACGGCGCGGTGGGAACGCGGGACCGCGCGCGAACCCGGGTGAGCACCGCTCCCCTTCCCCTTCCCTTCCGTCTGCTCCTCTTCCCTTCCCCTTCCCCTTCCCTCCTCTTCCTCACACGGGCAGTGCCAGCCCCCGGCACCGCCCGCTGAGCCGCTGCGTCACGGCGATGGGGAGGGACCGCGGCCCCCGCCGCGCGTGGTTTGGCGATTACGGTGTGACCTCGTTACCTCATCAGGGTGTATGGAGGGCGGGGGAGGGAAGTGCCAAGAGGATGGAGCCAGGCTCTGCTCGGCGATGCCAAGCAGTAGGACAGGAGGCGACGGGCAGAAACTGAGGCACAGGAAGTTCCAGTTCCTTTACTGTGCCCGTGACTGTCCATTGGGACATTGCCCTGAGAGGGTGAGGAGTCTCCCTCACTGCAGATATTCAATCCTGGGATCCAGCCACGTGCTCTGGGATGACCCTGCCTGAGCAGGGAGGTTGGACCAGATGACGCACTGTGGTCCGTCCCGACCTGACCCGTTCTGTGATTCTGTGACTGTAACACGAGCTCAAGTGAGCAGTGACACCATTTCCCCTCCCCAGTGTGCAGACTAGGCACAGAAGAGGCTGTATGGCAAACAGCAAATGACAGGAGGTACTCAGCCCACAGCAGAGTGTTGGAACTTCTTTAAGGCCCCTTCCAGCCCAAACCATTCCATCGTTCTATGACGCTCAGCATGTTGTCTCTCCCTCCCGTGAGGAAAAAGAGGCTACCCGAGTGTGGCACAGACACTCACACAGCCTGTCCTTGCACCTGAGGGCTCCACAGGGAGCTGAGGGCAGCTCTCAAGCAGCACCTGAAACGCCACCCTAGGGTGAAGCTTTGTGTACCACCCAACCGTACACAGCTGAAAGGAACCAGGCCTTTCCCTGAGCCAGGGGTTATCCATGCCTGGAGACCCCTGTGCCTCACAGGCAGCAAGGGGCAGTGCTGGGGTAGAGAATCTTCTGCCTTCCAGCCCTCCCCTTGTAATGACGTGTACCAAGAGGTGAGACAGGGAGTACACATTACCAACCCCTGGTATATTTGAAGTCTACTCTGTGAAAATATACTCCCCTCTCCTAGCTGTTTTTATTTTCAGGACCAAACCCACCACCTGCTATCACTGACTTCAAGCATAATTAGTCAACTAGACTAAATTAAAAATTTAAGCACCCCTTAAAACCTTCCTCATGCTCCAGACAGTCTCTCCTCCTGAAATACTAATAGGACTTTCTTTCACCTCTGAAACAAAGTTCCAGCACTTTGGGAAATCTACATTACCTGGCCTGAAAATACTCAGTGATAAAGGCTTTTTTTTTTTTTTTTAATGGTCAAGAAATTTGACTTATTCCTTTCAAACAAAGACTTGATTTGTGCCAGATACAACATCTAAAAATAAATTGTGCAGCTCCCCAGACTCAAGCAAGGTTTTAACCATTTGTTTTTAGTTCATCAACCAAAAGTCAATGCATCTGCACACCAAAAGAGGATCCAGGAAGTAATGGGGTGGTCTCTTCTACTTCATATTAGTAATCTTTCAGCATAAAACTATAGACAGCCTCCAACCACTGCAACCCAAAGCAGGGGGGTGTTCTCCAAAGAATGACCTTTGCATTCAGTTACAATCACCCTTGTCCCAGCATGGTTCAACAGAACAGATTGATACTCTTTGTGCAGAGTAATTTTTTTAGAACATATTATCTCATTTATCTTACATAATTTCAATGTGTGAATAAATTTAAACAGCTGGACTACTAAGGTAACTTAAAAAAAAAGGCAACCCTAACAGCAGTCATTTCAAACTTAAGCAACAAAGACATGTTTTGAGATAAAGAGCTGAACAGAGTTTTAAATGTCCAAAAAAAATAAAGC